AGGTATTATATATACATATATATATTTATACACATATATTTATATATACATATATACATAATTTAGGTTCAATTAAACACAATAAACACAAAATCATTTTTATACCTTTAGATAAAAATAAATCACTTTAAATTTACCTTAATTAATGTACTTATCTATTTACTTGCAGCAAGTTAACGGGAAAACCTTTTGCTACTCAAGTTTATTTTCATTAACTAATGTTTCAATGAAATTTGGTGCTTTAAAATTAAACAAAAATTTAAAATTGTAGCAACGTTGCATTTTAACCTGTGTTTGCATTCATTCTTTATATAATTAATGAATTTGCATTCATTGCAATGTTGCATTTATTGTTAGATAAAAAAAATAATATTTAATTTTGTCATTCTTTACGAGCATTGTTTATCGAATTAAGTTTTATATATAAAAAAAAAAGAAATAGTCTCGAATAATACAATAAAGGGGAGAAAACTTAAAACTCCATATACAGCGTCCACGTCTAATGGTTTTTAAAAATGACATCTTAAATATTGCATTGTTCTAACAACATACGTTATTTATTTTATTTACTGGAAAAAAAGAAACCATTTTCTGAAAATCGCTACTAATTTGCGAAGAGGGAGTTTCATGCAAATTTGATAACATTACTGAATATTAAAATATTCAAATTTACTCAAATAAATGTAAGAAAAATGTTGAGCAATTTATAATAAGCAAATCAGCTTATTTCATTTACTACAGAAAAGAGTGCATTTATTTTTAGCTAAATTACCAGACCCCCTCATCTAAAATGATTTATGACAACATAGAAGTATTTCCATTTGGTGAAAAACCTAAAATTGCTTTATGATAGATTAAAGTAATTTCTTTTCTTTCTTTGTAAATCCATTAGAGTTCATTTGAATATAGCTTTTATTTTGTAAGTACTTTGTTTTACGAAAACTAGCATAAATTTTTCTACCGTTTACACGAGTAAATATTTTAAAATCCTTTATTTTTTGTACAATTGTTATCTCAGATTACGAATATATAAAACCCTAACAAACGCATTTTATTTAGAGCTTTTGCGAAGGTACTAAATGATTCCATAAATCACTAGGCCGCTCGTAGAAAACACTATTAAAAAAATCTTTCTTTTTTTTTGCTCCTGGCATATTTTATAAACCTTAAAGGTGATTGTTAGTAATGCAAATTGAGCTATTTTCCCATTATCGAAAAACAAACATATGTATTAAAAAGCTAAAAATTAAAAGCATGATTCTACACTGCCTTACCAATAACTAGATACTAAATAAATAATCCAAAGAAATTGAAGTGGTAAAATATTTCTAGATCAAAACTTCATTCTCTTTAAAGAGATATAAATGGGCAATACAATCGACATGTTTCAAGTGCTCTGAAACAAACGCCCATTTTCAATGCTAGCTAGCACGTGAATGAGCATATTTGGAGTTCGCCCTGCTAGTCTTGAAAATGGATGCCTGGTTTGGAGTGCTTGAAGCATGTCAACTGTTATTTCCTATTTATACATTTTTGAAGTTCATAAAGTTTTTAATCTGGGGACAAGAACTATATAGTTATGACCGTATTGTATTTATTTCTTAACTTATTTGCATTGTCATTGATTTGCCTTTAATTGCCAATTAATTTGTTAGATAAGTGAGTTGCTGATTTAGTGATTAGTCAGTTCTCCATTAATCGAAACACCATTTCCTGATTTGCTGTTGAGATCAAATAGCAAATAGCTTCGATATTCACTTTCTCATTCCTTCATTAAGTTAAGCATTTAAAATTGTAGCTTTCGTTTTTATTACAAAATAAAGTTATGTGTCGATAAGAAATTGATAAGTTTTACGCTGCTTATAAATTATCAATTTTTATTTATCATTTTTAATCCTTAAACAACTTTTTAGTTTCAAATTTGGAAAATAGAAACTATTTTCATACATGCACTTAATTTTATTTGACGCTGGCGAAAAATTATTCAATCACTTTTCTCTAAAAGTGATTGAAGATTTTCTTTATTCTTTAGCAATTTTTATTTATTTCCAATTTTTTTTCTTTGTTTTTTTACCTTATTTATTATTGACTTTTGGTTATACACTCTATACAGTAAGTGATTATTAAATTACCTAAAAAATCTCTTCCAAAATTCTAGAAATAAAATTTCAATTGTCCACATTTTCCTTAAGAATTTGATCATTGTCTTATTACGAGCTTCGAATCATCTTACTAAGCATTACCCTAATGTGAGAACATTTTGCTATTACAAATTCCCTGATTATAAGGTTTTTTTAACTCAACGCTTTAATATCAGATTGATTTCAGAAAATGAACACATGATTCCCCGCTATTTGCATAAAATTATTAATAAAATCATCAATAAAAAATACTTAAGGATAAACTTAAAATAATTTATACATTTACCTGAATCTTGCTTTAGTTTTTGGAATCATTCAAATTTAATTTAAAAATAATTGCAAACAGCTAATTTCAAACAAATTAAATTTATAACTACAACAATTAATTTAGTTATTGAAATTCTCATGTTTGATTTTAAGAAGCATCACCTCAGTAGCGTGACAAAAATAAAATCTAAAAAGGACCCCCACAAAATATATGTTAAATCTGAACAGTGGTCGAACTGAAGCAATCGTAGAATTTCAGTTACAAATCTGCTTACAAATGTAAAACGAACTTCTCATTGTAATTAAATTGGACACCATATAAAAAGTTCACTGCTCTCCAACTCCTTTTAAAAAATTTGAACCTTTCGGGTCGTAAAAACATACCCACACAATAAACAATATTTTGAAAACCTACTCTATGCATTTTTTTCGAACAATCATATTCGAATCACAAACTCAGAGTTCACCCAGTTACACTGAACTCTTATGCAAACGAACATTTCCTTATTGATCATAAAAAACGAAACCAACGTATCTTTATCAAACAAGATAGAAAAAAAACGGTAACTAAAAAAATCCAACAAACGCAATACTACCCTAGTGCTCTTTTTTTTTTCATTCTTTATATATAGCAACTAGTACCCTATTGTAGTAACTATTCAGGTAAAAAATGTGACACTTCCCCGTTCGGGCGGCATAGTTCGGCGACCCTTTTGGGGTGGGGGTAAATTTTTCAATTGAATTTAAGATCGTGCTTTTCTGGTTAGGTTAGTGGGGGTGCTACCACATACCAGATGCAATTTTTTGCCGCGTGCCTTAGTCGTTCGCTAGTTGAATGCAACGGATTTTTTTTACTTTTTTGCAAAAAGGGGCAATAACTTTTGTAGGCGAAGGGATTATGGGGGTGACGCACGACTAACACAATTTTAGTATTTAATCCTTACAGTAGTTAAATGATAACATTTGAAAGAAACTGATTCTGTCAGTATATCGGAAGCTATTGAGTAAGAGGTAAGTCAAAGGTTTTATCGCTAGTTTGCATATTTGATTTTTTTATAAGTTTCATTTTGTATTTTAAATTTAAGTTTTAAAAAAATTAATAAGTTCTTTCGCTTTGCATAAAACATTATCTACTTAATAATTTTTATTATAATTAATTTCTCAATTATATTAATTTATAGAAAAAATGATAATAATATTACTATTTTTAAGCATATTGAAAAACATATTTATTTATTTTTAGTAACATTAGTAGAAAAAACTAAAACATTCATAAAATGTGTGATTCATTCGTGAGACTCAAATATAATATTATAATTATTCATTTATAATAATAAAAATTTTATTATTATGTTGCACTACTTATGGTGATTATGTTATATATAACGTACATTATATAGGTTACTTAATGCACTTGTAATTATTCATAATAATTACTAGTAAATATACATAATTTAAAGTTATGTAATTCCACAGCAAATCAGGTTGCTGGCGTATTCTTTATACTTTCTAGGGTGGCATTTTCTTAAGTTATGATATACTTAATTTGTGAATTATTTAAAAACAAAACTTACAGCTATGCATTAAAAATTATTAAAATAAATTATTTATTTAAAATACAAAATTGAAGCTAAAACTTTAAAAAAAAAAACTTTTAAATAATGTTAAAGAAAATATTATCGTATTTTTAGTCTTACTTATTCAATAAAACAAGAAATCTAAAAATGTTTAAGAGAAAAGAGAATTTATAAGTGTTACTTCTATGTGGTTTAGAAATATATAGTGCTGTCAGAAGAGAAGAAATCTCGGACATGTCAGAATAGACATGTTAGAAATTTGAAAAACATAAAATGGTTTCTTTGTGATTCTCCCCTATTTTTAAACATTTTAACACTCTCTTTTCTCGTTAACAAACAACTTTTAAAATGGCCGTCGTCTCGTTACTAAATAACATGAAAAATGGCGATGCTTGTCAAATACCTAGCATTCCAATTTCTTATGCTTAAAATATCTTTCCAATTCCATGTTAAGCTCTTTACTGTCGCTTTTTCGCTTCTTAAACTTCTATCAAAAAAGTAGGGTTGTTATTTGAAAATTTCAAACTTATGTCATTGTAACTATAACCGTCAGAGCTACGCAATAAATTTAAACATCATTTTTGAGAGAATAGATAATAGTTTATTCCGTTTATTCCGTTGACTCAAACTATATATTCTCCAGAAGGTCATAAGTAGGAAAAGTTATTATATAATCACCCTTTATGTTATTTTCAGTAAACAATCTAAAAATAATGATAATAAGTTATAAGAAATTATCAATGCATATTTTATATTTCTTTTAAATTAAAAATTAAACATTAATAAATATTAAAAACTTTTTAAACTTGCTTTCTGAGACTTTACTACATATATATACTATATANAATTTGATTAAAAACCATAAATTACAATCCAAAACTTGATGAATTAAAAATGGCAAGCAAACGATGGTGAAAAAAAGAAAGTACAGAAAAAATCGCTCGTCACAGAAATCTCATTTCTTCATTCCATCTCATCCTTGAGAGGAAAAGAAACTAAAAATATAAAATAAAAAAAAGTAAAAAAGCTAACGAAAAAGAAATCCTTCTTAAATTTATCATGGATTTTTTCCACCAAAATAAATGAACTGCCAGTACCCTCTTGACAAGAGGCTCCTAAGTGCGATTCCAAGTAAGGGACAGAGTAACAAAAATAAATAATAAACTAAAATAAAAACCTCTCCCTCACCCCCTCTCTAAGGCACGCAAAATTTTGGTACTGCACACGTATATAAATCTGTCACTCTGTGTAGAGTACTGCTAACTTCTCTCTGATTGGAGGAAAGAAAAGATAGAACGAAGAAAACAGTCATCAACTACTGCCTGCCTATAACTAAGATTTTTAGAGTAGAGTATTAAAGCGGCCAGCGAAATGGACAAGAATTTTTATTTATTTAGTTTTTTTTATTTGCTTATTCTTCTATTTTGTAGCTGGAGAGGTTTTTGAGGATATATAATATTGATGGACGGAGAGAGCTGTTTGCTAGGCAATAAATAAATGCCTGTGTCGTATACTTTTTTCATAAATTTTGTATATTTTTTTGCTTCATTTTGTTTCGGAGGAACGTTGACTCGCGTTTGTGCTAGAGATTACCAAAAAGAGTGATAAAAAAGATTATGAAAAGGGGAAATTTTGTTAATAAGTTTGATAAATTACATATATGAGAGGTTTTTTATTCATAGTTTTCATGAAAGAATTTTTTTTTCTTTGTATGGTAATAAGTAAAATCTGGACAAAAATTTAAATAATCTTTCAATAGGGATTGGATTATTACAAGTAAATTTTGCACCGTTTTTAATCATCCAATTAATTCAAATTAAATAAGGAAAAATATGAATGTTGTAAACTATGCATTACATGATAATTATAGCTATGATATATTATGATATTGCGTATAATAAATCTATAAATTTCGTTTATATTTTGTTTCATTTTGTTTCGGAGGAACATTGACTCGCGTTTGTGGTAGAGATTACAAAAAAGAGTGATAAGGAAAATTATGACTATCGGATATTTTTTGATACGTTTGATAAATTTCGTATACAAAGGCGTTTCTTATTCATAGTCTTCGTGAAAAAAAATTTCTACCTTTGTATGGTAATGAGTAAAATTTGGAAACAATTAAAATAATCTTTCACTAGGGATTATTAAAAGTAAATTTTGCATAGTTTTGAATTATGCCATTAATTCAAATTAAGCAAGAAAATAAAATGAAAGTTGTAAACTATGTAACGCGTGATAAATATGGTTATGATTTTTCGTATAATAAATTATGAATTTTGTTTGCATTTTGTTTAATTTTTTGTGGTCGAGATTACGAAAAAGAGTGATAAAGAAGATTATGAAGAAAGTAATCTTCTTCATTATCTAGTTTTGTTGAAAAGTTTGATGAAATTCATGTATAAGGCGTTCTTATTCATAACATGCATAAAAAAATACTTTCTACCTTGGATAACCTTCTACCTTCTAATTTTGGAGAAAAAAAATTTAAATATTCTTTAAATAGATATAAGTAATTTTAGCATCTTTTTTAAATTACGTATTTATTTCAAAGGGAACAAAAAATGAAATGAATTAAATAATTCATGATAAATATGGTCATGATTTCACGTTAACTTTATCAGTAAGTTTTTTTTCTAAGAATGTAATAACATTTTAAAGCTACTTGCTGACTTGTTTTTATTTTTTTTCATTTATGGATTTTTCGAGCTAACTAGTGGGATTAAATATTCAAGATTGATTTAGTCTTATATTATTTTATAATTTCATATTAATTTTATTATTTCAAATTATAAATACCAGAATACAAAATATATTTTACTTTGAGAAAAATAAGGTTAAAAAAAAAGGAAAAATTATCATAAAATTTTATTTACTCCACATTTTAATCTTATTTTCTCCAACATTTGAAACACACAACATCATAACTTGTAAACTTATTTAATAAAAAATAAATAAATTTTGCTCAATTACTCTCAATATTTGTTTTAAATCTCACGAAAATGACTTCGCTACATTCCCAATTATTTACAAGATAACAAAATAAATCCCCTAATCTTTCGTTACTTGTCCAGAGTCTTAAGAATCATAAATACAACAAAATTTCTTGGCGACCATTTTCCAAGCCAAATCACACCTTATTTCACTGCTTGTGATTAAATCACAAATCCTTAATGCTAAGTCCATGTTAAGAAGTGGACTTAGGTCCCCATCACCTCGGTCAGCCAGTGACCAACTAATTAACCATAATCACCGCAACTCGTCGCGTGTAAAAAAAAAGAGAAAAAAAGTCCAAATCCCTTTCCGCTATTTCTAGAAATAAGATCGCAACTCGTTAGAAAAAGAAAAGTCCAAAAAAAGAATAGCAGTGGCGCGATGTGGGCATAAAAAAGAAAAGAAAAGATATACGAGAGACTTACGAGAAGTCTTCACGCCTTAACGATGTTACTCAGTGGTTTAGTTTCCCATCCAATTTAGTTTCTCGGCTGTGACGTTGTATAGGATGCTACTGACCACACAAAATGTAGTGGGGCGTAGGTGGGCAGTGTGGGGGTGTAGTATATAGGTGTGAGTAGGGGGGTGACCACCCTGGCATTTATCACGCAGGTTCTCCGGTGATAGTGTTACACCGTAAAGTGAGAGATTGTGTACCCCTTAAGTTGTAAATTCAGGAAATTCTTTAGCAGAGTTGATGGTTTTATTAATTAGCTTTTAATTTTTAACTGTAAGATGTATGTATTGGTATTGCTAGTTAATAAAATATTTTAATTTAATGGAAATTTAAAAATTTAAATACTTACTAATTATAAGCCTTTTTCAATTTTAGTCCAAACTTTTTTTGTCAGTTTTAAAATCTGGCAGCAATTATATAAGTTCATATTTTAAGTTGAGATTAGCTAAGTATGGTTCTGGTAACAGAGTTATATTATGAAAAAAAACACTAAAATACTGTTGCTTTTTAAAAAACAGGAATTTCAATTGCTATAATTCTCAACGACCACAGTGCTGATGGAAAATATCCTCAGTGGTAGATGGATCATAAGTAAGAACCCTCTTGTCGTCGAGCTAACCCCGGGAGGTTTTCGAGGGTTTTCCTCTTCATGTGCTGCAAATGCGGTCTAGTTCCATCAATAAGTTCTCCCCGAATTCTAGTTTGCCTCACTGCTTGATCCAAAAGTGCCCTTGTCTTCTGGGTTGGGTTAGAAATTACAAGGTTACGGAATAGAACTTTGATAGCTGGTTGGGTTGGCTATTTAACGCCTGTTATAAAATGAATTGTTATAACTAAAAGAGAATACTTTTATATTTCTGACACTTTTTGTATTTAAAATTTGGTTATAATGTTAAACTACTTTTAGATTCGCAATAAAATGAAAAGGTTATTAAATAGAGATAAAACATACTTTAATAAAAATTCTTTCTTAACTTATTGAC